AACAATGAAATTTATATCCCTCTATAAAGATTAGAAATCTGATTACTGCATGAAGGCACCAGGTCAGGGGTGAGGACTGTGACATTCCCAGTGTCCCAGAAATGGAGCAGAAGGAGGAGGATGAGCAGTGGGAGCTGTGGAAACCCACGCCACAAATTGTACAGAAAAGACAAAGCCCCTGCCAGGGCCAGTGATTTATTTTAAACAGCACAGCGAATAAAACATGAAAAATAAAAAAAAAAAAAAAAGTGGTGTTGAATCATGGCTTGGAGTGGTTTGAAAAGCCAAGCCAAAGCAGAATATTAAGAGCAGGTCAGTGAGACAAGTGAGTCTGGCTGGACAGAGGAGAGGAACATGGAATGCCAGGAATTAGAGGACAGCAGGAGCCTGGCTGAGCTGCTGGAGACAAACTGAGGTACTGAGGTCACTTTAAAGCTCCAAACAAGAATTATTCAATTGAAAACAGATGAGACTCTGACAGAATTAAAAACGAGCCTCGGGCAGACGGGAGGAGCTGTGAGGAAAGGTGCCAGCACAAAGGGAGGTGGAATGGGCAGGTGAAGGGAGCCCCCCACACCTGACAGGTCAGGGGGGTCCCAGAACTCTCACGGGGGGTTTGATCCCTGCAAGATTTGGGGATCTTGACACGTGGGAAAGACTTAAAAAACCGTAAGAAACGAGAGTTATAAAGTAGGTCTGGATTTGAGGTGTACAGGGATAATTTTTTCTAAAGCATGCACTGTGAAACTTTACTGTTTCATTTATTTGTTGAAAGCCTCGGGTTACACAATACATCGAATAAAATAATATTTCTGTTTTAGCCCAGCCTAGTCTTGTTTATTTTTGCTTTGTATTCAAATGAATTAAAAAATCTTCTCGTGTTTCTTCAGTTCTTCGGGGTCTCTGATGAAGACTTTTAAACTCTTCAGCACACTTGAACTTTCAGCTTTTTCTCTGGAGTGTCTTAACCCTTTGGGCACATTCTAGACCTTGAGATTCAGGGTTTTGGATTTATCCCTTCTCACTGGTAGCCTTGCACCCCTCACCCTGTTTGCAAAAATTATCACAAAGCAAAAATCTCTTCCTGATTTTTGCCAGCACAGTAAATGTCAGGTGTTCTTTGTTGTTTTAGTTTTTTGGTTTTTGTTTTTTTTTAATGAACTATTTCTCACTTTTCGATTTCCTGTCTCAATCTGCACCCTGCTCAGTCCCAGGAAGTGCCATGGGGGGCCCAGCCCTGTGGGACACAGATTGAGAAAGTAAAAAAATGACAGCCTGAAAAATATTCCAGGCTGGAGCTTCTCAGCTCTGTTCCCAGTTGATAAACTGGTCCAGCTCAAGGCTAAGGGAGAATTTCTCCCAGGGTAATAATTTGATCAAAATAAAAAGGAATTAACAACGTCGTGCTGTGTCACCAAGCCCTGGGAACGGGGTGCCAATCACCTTTTTCTCTACTCTTGGAATTCCCAAGCCACGCTATAAAACCAAGCGTGTCACGACAAAACAAACCACGTAGCCGCGCATCTTCTTTCTGCCGCACTTAAAGGGTTAAAAGCCCTTTTCCCGGGGCTGCCCCGCCCCACTCACCCATGCAGTTCTTCATCATCATGAAGCCGCTCTCGTAGCCCTCGAAGCACTCGCACTCGAAGCTGCCCGGGGTGTTGACACAGGAGCCGTGGCCACACAGGTCGGGGGAGATGCGACACTCGTCGATGTCTGGGGACGGGGACAGGGATGGGGACACACACGTTGAGAGAGCCAGGGGATTACAGCTTGGAGGTTCTTTGTCAGGGTTGGATTTCTCCTGATTCTGTCGCTGGTGTGGGGGCTTTTTGGGGTTTCTTTGGGATTTCTGAGGTTGCTCCTGCAGCTCTCAGTGATGGAGCAAATTCCCCAGCCATGCCCAGATGGAATTTGGGCTCGTGGGGAGCTCTCAGACCAGCGAGGTAGAGACCAGCACATGCAGAAAGGCACAAACCCATGGTTTATTCTATGAAGGCTTCCTGTCTGCACATACCCACGGCTGTTGTTTTACAGGGGTTTTATATCTTTGGAGGGTTTGACAGTTTGCACCAATTACCAAGGGAATTCTACTTTCTGACCAATCCCTGAGGGATTTTACATTCAAAGCTGGCCTATGGATACTAAAAGAGAATGAACCACTAATATTGAATAAGATATTAATATAAGAGGGTCTAACAAGGGGGGAAAGCTAAATTCCTTTTGTATTTGTCATTTCACAGCCATTCCTTATCTCTAAGCTCTGGTTTTCCAAGGGGCTTGTTCTGAGGGTGCAGGGAAACTTTATTGAATTTCTGCTCCCTGCCCACATTCCCAGGCTGACAAGCTGACTGCAGCTTCAGTTAGGGAGGAGTCTCCCAGGGTGACAACACGGTGACAAACAGAGTGGAATTCATCACCAACATTAACCCCTGGTGTCTTTCCCGTGGGACACATCCTGAGGTGCTGTCCCAAGGATGTTTTTCCCAATTGTCCCATGAGCTCCTGTCCTGTCCTGGCTGCACTGACACACTTTAAATCCGGGCTGGCTGTACAATAAATTGTTTTTTTTTCCCCAAAAAGAGCTCCGTGTGTGTTGCTGTCCTTTCTCTCTCTTTGCAGCTCAGTGACCACAAGCACAGATTTAAAATGTTCCTAAAAATCCCGGGAACTGCATACAACAGATCCAGGGGGTGGGAAGGAAGGTTGGGTCTGGGAAAGGAAAACCAGGCCCTGGGAATGAATATTGAGCTTTGTCTTTTCTAGATCATGTGAAGCTACACCTGCATGATCATCACGTGATAAATGATGTGATTGTTAAATGTAACCATTGTTTGGTAATTGATTTATTTTAATTAATTTAATTGTAATAAGAATCATGAGAAATGATGCAATCGTAACAAGAATAATGAGAAAGAATATTTGGGGGGCCTTGCAATGTAAAGCCCTAAAAATGTAATGTAAAATTATTTTCTTGTCATGAAAATGACAAGAATTCATGCTTGGATAAGATCAATGCATAAACTAGAACAATATGGGTTTAATAATTAATATAGAGTTATATAAAGAAAAGGGTATAAAAACATGTGCATGTGGGAGTCAGATTTGGGTTTGCACCCCTGATTCCCAGAGCTCCTCAATAAAAGCACCAGCAGGAAATCATGGTGGGATTTTGTGTTTCAACACTAACAGCCACACCAGGGAGCAGCAGCAAAGGAATTCCCCAGCCTGGGAGAGGCTGCTCCATGGGGCAGGGCTGGCCCTTCACCCCACAGGCAGCCCGATGGAATCATGGAATTCCAGCACGGTTTGGGTTGGAGGGACCCTAAATCCCAGCCCAATCCCAGGCTGCTCCAAACCCAATATCCACCATGGCCTTGATGCTCCTGCCCTTGTCCCTAAATATTTGACTCCTGTGGGCAGCCCCAGCCCTCTGAGCCCCACCAAAAGCAGCGGGAACAGCTCGGGGGGGGGATCCCTCACCTGTGCAGTTCCTCTCCTCAGCATCCAGAGCAAATCCATTGCCACAGATGCACCTGAAGCTGCCGATGGTGTTCCTGCAGGTGCCGTGGGTGCAGAGCCCAGAGAACACCTTGCACTCGTTCACATCTGAGGGGGAATCACAGGGATGAGAGAGAGGGTCCCCAAGAACCCCCCCAGCCCAGCCCAGCCCAGCCCAGCCCAGTCCAACCCACTCCACTCCAGTCCAGTCCAGCTCAATCCATCCCAACCCAGCCCAGTCCAGCTCAATCCAACCCACTCCAGTCCAGTCCAGCCCAATCCAGCTCAATCCAACCCTGTCCAGCCCAACCCAGCCCAGCCCAGTCCAGTCCAGCCCATCTCAGCCCAGTCCAACCCAATCCAACCCAGTCCAGTCCAGCTCAACCCAGCCCAACCCACTCCAGTCCAGCCCAGCCCAATCCAATCCAGCCCAACCCACTCCAGTCCAGTCCAGCCTAGCCCAGCCCAATCCAACCCAGTCCAGCCCAATCCAACCCAGCCCAACCATCCCATCCCAATCCCATCCCATCCCATCCCATCCCAATCCCATCCCAATCCCCCTCACCTTTGTAGAAGGGCCGTCCCGAGAGCACATCCCCCCGGTTGGCAAAGCCGGGCCCGCGGGGACACAGAGCCTTGAACTCGGCCGAGCCCGCACGGGGACACTCCTCGCAGTCCGAGCCCCAGGCGGAGCCCACGGAGCAGCAGCACAAATCCATGCGGAACTTCCCGGGCAGCGGCTCCGTGCACTCGTCCTCGTCCCAGCGCATGTAACACTGCTCCACCCGCACGTCTGGGGACAGAGCCAGCCTCAGAGCCCGCACCGACACGGGTGACACTGCTGGGACAGGCTGGGGACACCTCAGAGCCCGGGCAGACACGGGTGACACTGCTGGGACAGGCTGGGGACACCTCAGAGCCCGCACGGACACGGGTGACACTGCTGGGACAGTCTGGGGGTGGCTTTGGAGAGGGGGGGTCTCCTCCAAACAGCGCCCATGGGGATGAGCAAAGTGATTTTTGGGAGGGATTGCATAGCACGGACCGCTGGCAGCAGGGACAGAGGATGGATCCTCGCAGAATCCCAGAATTTAGGTTGGAAAAGACCTTTGAGATCATCAGGTGACACAACATCAGCGTGTCCCCGAGTGCCACATCCAGGCTTTCCTTAAACGCGGTGCTGCGAGCACAGGCGATCCCTGCAAAGGGCACGAGCTCGGCACTGCGTGCCCAGGAGCGCTTTTAGGGCTCGTCTTTAACCCCTGAGACCATCTGGTCACTCCTGAACCCACCCACGAAGGACAACGGTGTCACCAACTGCACTTGGGGACACAAAACTCTGGTTTGGCCGTGAGATTTTTTTTGGCTTTTCCAGGTGTGGCTCAATTCCCATGAATTCCTGGCGGGGAGGGGAGGATGTGGGAGGGCAGGATGGGGGTAGAGGAGGTGCCCTCACCCACGCAGGTCCTGGCGGTGCCATCCAGGGTCAGCCCCTCGGGGCACTCGCAGCGGAAGGAGCCGGCGGAGTTCACGCAGCGCCCGTTGGGGCACACGCCCGGGAACACCTCGCACTCGTTCACGTCTGTGGGGGGACACATTGGGGACAAGGTGAGGGATGGCTCGGGGTGGGCACGTGGCCAGTGGGACCTCAAAGGGGCTTCCAGAGGAGGTGGGAGGAGCCCAGAGCTGCCCAGCAGGCTCCAAGTGGTGACTGAGCCATGAAAACTGGGCACAGAGAGAGCGGGGATCTGGGCACAGACACACAGACAGACAGACAGACACACAGACAGACAAAGACCAGAGAGGGGAGATCTCCCCCAAGACTCGGGGAGGCAGGAGAGCAACAGGGAAGCAATGATCCCATTCCCAAGAAGAAACGCAGTTTCCCCTTCCCAAGAAAAGCAGTTTCCCCTTTCTAAGGAAAGCAGTTTCCCATTCCCGAGAAAAGCAGTTTCCCATTCCCAAGGAGAAAAGCAGTTTCCCATTCCCAAGGAAAGCAGTTTCCCATTCCCAAGGAAAGCAGTTTCCCATTCCCGAGAAAAGCAGTTTTCCATCCCTGCCGCACTTTACCTTCACAGGTGACGCCCTTCATGCGGGCGTAGCCCCGGGGACAGGCGGTGTCTGCAGGGGACAGCGATGTCAGCCAGGAAACCCTTCCAGCTTTCCCACACAACCACGGAATATCCAGAGCGACCCGCAGGATCACCCAGCCCAACTCCTGACCCTTCCCACCGCCCCCCCCAAAAAAACCCCCACCCTGTCCCTGCGAGCCTTGTCAGTGCCCCACCACCCTCTGGGCATTTTTCCCCCTTTCCCGATCTCCATCCCACAGCTTGTCACAGCGGCAGCATTCCCTCGGGAATGGCACAGCCTGGCACAGCCTCACCGATCTCGCAGCGCTCGCAGGGGCTGCCCCAGGCTGCCCCCAGGGTGGCACAGCACTCGGATTTCAGCGTGGCACCGTTGATGTTGACCTCGCAGCGCCCGTCCTGGATGTTGAGCCAGCAGGTTCCCTTCATGCTGTCTGCAGGGACACAGCGGCTCAGGGGTGCCCCCCGTGCCCCCCGTGCCAGGCATGGCACCCCTGGCAGGAGCTGTCCCCTCCCCACTGCTCCTGGGAGTCACCGATCCTCTGGGACGTGGCTGTCCCCACAAACCGGGGAACCTCCAAACCCATCCAGTGCCACCCCTGCCATGGGGACACCTCCCTGATGCCAGCCCCACCCAGCCTGGCCGTGGGCACTGCCAGGGATCCACAGCTGCTCTGGGAATTCCATCCCAGCCAGGAATTCCTCCCCAGTATCCCACCCATCCTCTGGGATTGCTGTCCCTGTGCCAGGCCGGGTGACACTGGCAGTGTCACACCCCCATCCTCAGGGATTGCTGTCCCTGTGCCAGGCCGGGTGGCCGTGCAGGTGACGCTGGCAGTGCCACCCTGCCCTGGCAGTGCTCACCCACGCAGATGGTGCCACTGGGGTCCAGTTTGCTGCCCGGGGAGCACTCGCAGGCGAAGGAGCCCGCGTTGTTCCGGCACAGCCCGTTCACACACGGGTTGGACGTGCACTCGTTGATGTCTGCGGGGACAGGGGACAAGGGGACAGGGGATAAAGGACAGGAGACAGGGGACAAGGGGACAGGGGACAAGGGGCAAGGGGATAAAGGGATAAAGGACAGGAGACAGGGGACAAGGGGATAAAGGACAGGAGAAAAGGGGACAGGGGACAAGGGGACGGGGGATAAAGGACAGGGGACAAGGGGCAAAGGGACAGGGGATAAAGGACAGGGGACAAAGGGACAAAAGGATAAAGGACAGGGGACAAAGGGACCAGAGACAAGGAGACAAGGGACAGGGGACAAAGTGATAAAGGACAGAACAGGGGACAAGGGGACAGGGGACAAGGGGAAAAAGGGACAAAGGGACAAAGGGACAAAGGACAGGGAACAAAAGACAAAGGGACAAGGGGACAGGGGACAAGGGGACAAGGGGAAAAAGGGACAAAGGACAGGGAACAAAAGACAAAGGGACAAGGGGACAAGGGGTAAAGGACAGGGGACAAGGGGACAAAGGGACAAAGTCACTGAGGGCAGTGACAGGGGACACAGCCCTGGGGGACACACCCTGGAGGAGGTGAGCGTGAAGAATGGTGGGGCTGAATTCTTTTTTAAGTGGTTTTAAATAGAAGAGTAAAATTTAAAATACGTTAAAATCTGTTATATGCTAGTACACAAAAATATAAAGTGTGGCATATAGAAAAATATTGTGATATAGAGCATAAAAATACTGTATAATATACTAATATATTATATATAGTACATTATTAATATATATTATATATTGTATGTTATATATAATATATATTCTATATATTATAGAATAGATATATGTCATACATAATATATAACTATATATTATATAATATGTAAAATAGAAATATATAATATATAATATATAATATATATAATGTATGACACATAATATATATTACTTATATTATACCTATAAACTAATATATAATATAATAATATATAACATAAGAAACACTACATAATGTATTATATAAATAACAAATGATAAATTACACTGAAATTCCATATAAATATATAAAATATAAGTGTACACGTGTCACATAGAGAGCTCTAACAGCCATATTAAAAAGAGAAGATTTTAAAAAAATTATTTGGATTGAGGGTGGTTGGGGCACTTGTGTGCAAAGTGCCAGTTCTGAAATATTCGAGGCCTCTGTGCACAGGAAACCATTTCTCCCCCTCCAAATCACAGCCTTTCAATCAAATTCCCCAAAAATTGCAATTTTGGTCAGGCCTCAAGCCCAAATTTTGTGGCCCTGGAGGAAATTGAAATTGCTCTGGTTTCCAGGCTCGGATGTTTTGGGGTCAGGTGTCCACTGCTGTGAACCCAGTGTGAAACATCACTACAAACCATGGGGGGAAAAATAAAAAAAAAAAGTGAGGTCAAAGCCCCCCCCAACCTCAAAGGTGCAGATTTGCAGAGCAGTGCAGTGGGGAGGGAAGCTGGGATTTCCAACTGGGATTCCCAGCTGGGATTTCCAGCATGGATTTCCAACTGAGATTCCCAGCTGGGATTTCCAGCATGGATTTCCAACTGAGATTTCCAGCTGGGATCTTAAGCAGGGATTTCTAGGAGGGGATTCCCAGCAGGGATTCCCAGCAGGGATTTATAGGAGGGGATTTCCAGCAGGGATTCCCAGCAGGGATTCCCAGCAGGGATTCCCAGCAGGAATCTCCAGCTGGGCTGGCCCCGGGCAGGAGCTCAGGCCGAGGATTTTCCCCCCCAGGCTGCGGAGCTGCCCAGCCCCGGTACCTTCACAGGTGTCGGTCTCGGTGCGGAACACGAAGCCCTTGGGGCAGGTGCAGGTGTAGCTGCCCGGGGTGTTCCTGCACAGCCCATTGTCACACAGCAGCCGGTTCACGCTGCACTCGTCCACATCTGGGGGGCAGATGTGACATCTGTGAGCTGGGAAGGGTTAATTCCCCCACCCGCGGGGTCGTGGATCCCACCCCAGTCCCTGCACAGACACCCCGGCATTCCCAGCCTGTCCCAGAGTGCTGTCCCTGCTCCGGCAGGGCTGGGATCATTCCCGGGGGAATTTGGAGCAGGAACCATTCCCTGATCTCCATCCCAACCCCTGGCACAGCCCCAGCCCTTCCCTGGATCCTGGGACAGAAATCTGCTCCCAGAGCAGGGATCAGAGCTGCCCTTCCCTGGATCCTGGGACAGAAATCTGCTCCCAGAGCAGGGATCAGAGCTGCCCCAGCCCTTCCCTGGATCCTGGGACAGAAATCTGCTCCCAGAGCAGGGATCAGAGCTGCCCCTGCCCTTCCCTCACAAGGAACCCACAGAGTCTCCCCTGCTCTCCAGGAGGGAGCAGGGAATGAATTCCCCATTTTCCTTCCTTGTCCTCATCCCACCCCGTGAGCTCTCCAGCTCCCACCCTCCCTCCAGTTCCCCACTGGATTTGGGTGGTGCTTGAGGGGGTGGCACCCCCTGAGCCCCTCCCCGTGCCAGGCAGCCCCTGACTCACCCACGCAGTTCTTGCCCGTGGGGTCGGACTCGTAGCCCAGGTTGCAGATGCAGCGGTAGCTGCCCCGCAGGTTCTCACACATCCCGTTGGGGCAGATGTCAGGGTTCAGGGCACACTCGTTGATGTCTGACAAGGAAAAAGAGGCACGGGAGATGGAGCCAGCAAATGCAAAGACAGGAACGTTGCACCTCCTGAATCTTCACTGCAGGAATTGTGGATCCCACAATGGACTAGGTTGGGTTGGTTGGGCTGGGTCAGGTTGGGTTGGGTTGGTTGGGTTGGGCTGAGTTGGGTTGGGTTGTGTTTGGGTTGGGCTGGGCTGGGTTGGATCTCAAAGCCCATCTCGTTCCACTGCCACCACTCCAGGCTGCTCCAAGCCCTGCCCAAGGTTGGGGCAGCCACAGCTTGTCCCTGTCCTGAGCCAGCCCAGGGCTCTGAGTCAGGACAGAGCTGGATAACGGGCTGGGATAAGCCCAGTTTTAAGTCAGGGGCTCTCAGGTGTGACAGAGTTTTCTTTATCCCAGTACTGAGCTCAGGTCCTTTAATCACCCCTGGATTCAGCCCCAGGTGACCCAAAAAGGTGCCAGCCAGGAGGGCACTGTCCTTTCCCTGCAGCAGCATCCTCTCCTCTGCTCTTTTGGAGCCAAACCCTGGTGCCAGGGCAGAGATTTCACCCAGCCCAGCCTGTGCTGGCACCACGGGGTCCCTGCAGTGCCAGCTGGCCACGGCTGCCCAGGCACTGCTGGCCTTTGTCCCCACGCTCCTGGAGCTCAGCTCCATCCAGGGAAACACAGCCTGGAGAGCTCAGAGTGCAGCCCTGGCTCCAGGCACGGCTGGAATGCCCAGAGCACGGCTTTGCTAGAAGGAGTCTCAGCATTCCCATGGGGCTGCCCCTGGCCAGGACACGAGCCCTGGATGGGAGCCCAAGGAGCCACCGGGGCTTCTCCTCTGGCTCCTTCCCATCCCCAAGGCTTGGCAGGGCCCTGGCTGCTCTGGGCTCTCCCTGCTGATCCAAGCACTGCCCAGGGCTGGCACTGGGACCTCTTGGAACTCAGAGCAGCCCCTTGGCAGCACAGATTGGTCACCTCCCTCTGCCTGGGACACCCCAAGGAGGAGCTGGGGAGCAGAGGAGGGTCCCAGTGCTCATTCCCATCCCAGCAGGGAGTGCAGCCCAGCCTCTCCTGGCACAGCTCCCACAGATCCATCCCTGCTCCAGGAAAAGCAGCTGAGGGTGTTTCCCGTGGAATTCTGCACGTCCCCGGGGAATCTTGCATGTCTGTGGGGAATCCTGAACGTCCCTGGAGGATCCTGAACGTCCTTCAGGGATCCTGCACATCCCTGAGGAATCCTGCACGTCCCTGGGGGATCCTGAACATCCCTGGGGATCCTGCACATCCCTGGGGAATCCTGCCCGTCCTTCAGGGATCTGTACCCACCTCTGCCATCAGCCGTGATCCCGATGCCGCTGCTGCAGAGAGCCTGGAATTCCGCTGGGGACGGAGCAGAGCAGAGCCATGAGCGTGGCAGGAGCTCCCCACACGGAGACCCCCGGAGCTCAGTGCCCCGACCCACTGAGGGCTGAACCCTTTCTTTGTCACAGCGCCCGTTCTAGGGTTGTTTATGCTCAGGTAACACAAGCACAGAACCTTGGAGGGACCCCAAGGACCATCCAGCCCAAGCCCAGACACCCCAACAATCCCACCCTGCTCCTGGCAGCGTTGTCCAAACTCTCCTCGAGCTCTCCCAGCCTTGGCGCAGTGACTTTGTGCATTTTAACGCTGATACTCCCACTTCCAACATCCCAACACCAGATCTGGGCACCGCTCTCCATTTTCCCCCCATTCCTACATCTCTCCACGCTGCCCAAACCACGCCAGGACATTCCCGAGCCCCTTCCCTTCCCCTGGCACACCCAGGGCTGGGCTCACCGGAGTTCTTGGCCGGGCAGGGCTGGCAGGGCTCCCCGAAGCCGTGGTCGGGGTTGGCACAGCAGCACTCGGATTTGGTGACGGCGCCGGGGAAGGGGCGGGCACAGGTGCCCTTTTTGATGCCCCCGTAGCAGGTGCTGCGCATGTGGGTGTCCACACACACCCGGCCGTCCACGCCGATGGCCAAACCCCCCAGGCACTCGCAGCGGAACGAGCCCTCCGTGTTGATGCACCAGCCGTTCATGCAGATCCCGGGGGTCTCGCACTCGTCGATGTCTGGGGGATGGAGAGGAATGGGAGTGGGGTGACCTCGAGGGGTGGGAGACACCGGGAGAGGGGTGGGAGACACGAGGAGAGGGGACTGGGACATAGGGAGAGGATTGGGTCACATGAAGGGGAGGCAGAACACACGGACAGAGGCTCAGGACACACGGACAGAGGCTCAGGACACACGGACAGGGGTTAGGTCACACAGAGAGAGGCTCAGGACACACGGACAGAGGTTCAGGACACACGGACAGAGGCTCAGGACACACGGACAGAGGCTCAGGACATGAGAAGCTTTCCCCCTTTTCCCCATTCTCCCACAAAGGGACAATTCCTGGCGGCAGAGCAGGAACTGCCCGGGCACACCCTGGGGTTTCTGAGCTCCCCTTGCCCTGAGGGGCTCACAGTGCCCAGGAGGGTGGGCAGGGCTGGGACTGGGCAGAGCCCAGCTGGGATTGACTCACCCAGGACTGGGATCACTCCGATTTGGGGTCACTCAGATTTGGGGTCACTCAGATTTGGGGTCACCCAGGTTTGGGGTCACCCAGGTTTGGGGTCACTCACCCACGCAGTAGCGCCCGTTGGGGGCCAGCACAAAGCCGGGTTTGCAGATGCATTTGAAGCTCCCGTCCTCGTTGATGCACATCCCGTTGAGGCACATGTTGGTGGTGGCACACTCGTCATGGTCTGGGGGCACAGAAAGGACCCCAGAGCTGCAGCCATACCCCAAACCCCCCCTGTGCCCCATCCCAAATTGTGGTGGTGGGGGCTGGGCCTCAGAGCAGACGGGGAGAGGAATTTGGGTGGAACCTGCAAGAGCATCAGCTCCAAGCTCTGGGTCACCTTTTCTGCTCAGAGCTGCATCCTCACAGGGCCAGGGGTAAGGGAATCCCCAGAGCTCCTGGAGCTCCTCCTGCTCCAGCCCCAGCCCTGCTGATCCCCTGCACCCCAAATTCCACAGGAGCACCCTCATGGAAACAGCTCCTCAACCCAGCCCTGTCCTTGTGGGACAGCCCAGATTAAAACCCCAAAGAGAACTGATCCCAACCCAGCCCTGTCCTTGTGGAACACCCCAGATTAAAACCCCAAAGAGAACTGATCCCAGCCCTGTCCTTGGGGGTCACCCCAGATTAAAACCCCAAAGAGAACTGATCCCAGCCCTGTCCTTGGGGGTCACCCCAGATTAAAACCCCAAAGAGAACTGATCCCAGCCCTGTCCTTGGGGGTCACCCCAGATTAAAACCCCAAAGAGAACTGATCCCAGCCCTGTCCTTGGGGGTCAGCCCCGATTAAAGCCGCAGGGGAAGGCGATCCCAGCGCAGCCCCGGGCCCCTGCAGGCACAGCAGCCTCACCAACGCAGTTCTTGCCGTCGGGGGTGATCTCGAAGCCGGCGTTGCAGATGCACTGGAAGCTGCCGTCGGTGTTGACGCAGCGCCCGTTCCTGCACATCACCCCGTTCATGATGCACTCGTCAATGTCTGCGGGGAAATCACCACAAAGTGGGAGCAATCCCAGCTTCATCTCCCCCATGAGAAACCCAAGCATGAGAACACCTCAGACACGGCAATTCCTCTTCAAAAATCCCGCCTGGAAAATCGGGATTTTTCACACTGCCGGGCAATGGGGGAGCCTTTGGGAGCCGCTTTGTCAGGAGGGGAGGAAACAAAAATTTCGAAGCTTGGGCACTGCCATGGAAATCTGCCTTTGCTGCTGTTCCCGTGGTGGAACATTCCCTTCCCATCCCTGTTTTTTGGCAGCCTCTTGGCAGAAGAGCTTTGCTGGAAATCCTGCATCCACACCAGAATCCCACTTTGGTCAAATAAAGTTCTCCCAACAGAATTCTCTTCCTGTTCTGCAGGTCCCTTGATTGCCACCAGAAAATTTTAAGGACAGCCAAGGCAGAGGAAGCTTCTGGACAGATCTCAGCCCACACCTGGTGGGGCTGAGGACTCCTCACTGCGTTTCACCCCACAACCCTTTTGTGGTGCCAAGCGCTCTGCTGACCCCTCTGCCACCTCTGCCACCCCCCAAAAAAAGGGGGGACAGCCCTTACCAATGCAGGCCTGCTTGGTGGGGGTGCTCTGGAAGCCCTCGTGGCACTTGCAGTGGTAGGAGCCCGGCGTGTTGACGCAGTCGCCGTGGACACAGGGGCTGCTCGAGCACTCATCCACATCTGCAAGGATGGGGTGGGGAGAAAAAAAACCCGGCTGTGAGGGACAGCAAAGCCCAGGAACAGCACAGGAGGAGCTTTGGGAGCAGCCCCCACTCACCAATGCACTCCCCTCGGACGTCCTGCTTGTAGCCCATGTTGCACTCGCAGCGGTAGCTGGACGGGGTGGGGATGCAGCGCCCGTTCAGGCACAGGTTGGTGAAATGTTTGCAGATGTCGATGGTCTGGTTCAGCGTGGCCGTCCCTGGGGACACAGGCAGGGTTGGGGAACATTTGGATGTCCCAGGAGCCTTGGGAGCACGGGAAGGGTTGGAGAACCCTTGGGTGTCGCAGGGTTCAGGATGGTGGCAGTTCCAGGGGACACAGGGAGGGTTGGGGAGCCCTTGGGTGTCCCCAGGACTCCTGGAAAGGACAGGGAGGGTTGAGGAGACTTTGGGTGTCCCCGGGCTCAGGATGGTGGCAGTTCCTGGGAGGGTTGAGGAGCTCTTGGATGTCCCAGGATCTCCCTGGGGGGATGTCAGAGGGGTTCAAAGTGGGGACCAAACCCAGCAGGGGAGGGTGAGACCGAGGTGGTGATGGCAAAGTTCCGTTCCTATTTGGGAATCAGGGAGATATTCCAGAGCCGAGCCAGCCTGGATCTGAGTGCGGGCTCAGCGCCCGTGCCACATCCCAGCCCCGCCCCGAGCCACGACATTCCCTGTGCTCATCTGGGAATCGACATTCCAGCCCTGGGGAACCCGGAGCCAGGCTGGGCAGCCCCGGGACAAATCGGGAATTCCCGATGCTGGAACTCCCCGGACCCATCCTGGGACAAACCGGGAATTCCCGGTGCCCCGAGCTCATCCCTGGACAAATCGGGAATTCCCGATGCTGGAACTCCCCGGACCCATCCCGGGACAAATGGGGAATTACCGATGCTGGAGCTCCCGGGACCCATCCCGGGCAGCCCCGGGATCCCTCCCTGCCCGTTTGCCCCGTTCGGGCCGATCCCTCCGGGCCCGTTCAGTCCCGGTCCGACTCCGTTGGGTCCGAATCCAGGAATTCCTGGGAAGTTCCCGGGGAATCCTGGCACCACCGGGAGTCCCTCGATGCAGAGCCTGCGGTACTCGTCTGAAACGAAACGAAACGAAACAAAACAAAAAATCGGGATTTTCCAGCATCCTCCTGCAGGGATGGGAGCAAAGAGGAATTCCTGATGGGAACGGGACTAGGAAATGATGGGAATGGGGCAGAGGGACGAGGAGGGACTGAACACCCCTGAGCCCACAGCACAGCTTGCCAGGGGGGCTGGCAGAGGATTTTTGGGACACCGAGGGATCCCTCAGGGCAGGGAAGGACACGGGAGGGGCCAGGGAAGCTCTGCCCTGGTCAGAGCTGGGGGTGCAGGGGGGATGCACAGGGATGTGGATCCATCTCTGGATGTGGATCCATCCCTGGGTGTGGATCCATCCCTGGGTGTGGATCCATCCCTGGGTGTGGATCCCTCCCCGGGTGTGGATCCCTCCCCGGGTGTGGATCCATCGGATCCATCTCTCCAAACCTCCTGCCTGGGCTCATCCCAAGGTTCATCTGTGGTGGGAGCCCAGGACAGGGATCGGGAGCAGGACAGGGATCGGGAGCAGGACAGGGATCAGGAGCAGGACAGGGATCAATCCCTGCCCAGGTAGGAGGAGCAGCACCCTCAGGTGATGGGGTTGGGTTTTTCCCCCAGGTAAAAAGGGACGGGGGAAAAAAGGGAGTGGCCTCAAGCTGTGTCAGGGGAGGGTTAGGTTGGAATCAGGGGAAAAAATTCCTCATGGAAACGGTGAATGGCGCCCATCCCTGAAGGGTTTAAAAGCCATGGGCATGTGGCACTTGGGGACAGGGTTTGGTGGCACTCGGCAGCGCCCTTGGAGAGCTTTCCCCGGTTTGGGGGTGATCATTTGGGGTCCCGGGGTGTCACTCACCCGAGCCCCGCACCGGGCACATCTCGGGGGTCTGGCCGATGGCCCAGCAGCGCCCCGAGTCACAGCAGCACTGCATCCTGCTGGCCTGGCCCGGAATGTCCCCGGCACAGCGGCCACCCAGCAGCGCCGAGAAACACGTCCCCAAACGCTGGTCTGGGGAGAGACGGGGACAGGGGACAGGGAAAGGGATAAGGGACAGGGATAAGGGACAGGGAACAGGTATAAGGGACAGGGACAAGGATAAGGGACAGGGACAAGGATAAGGGACAGGGGTAAGGCAGGGATAAGGGACAGGGAACAGGAACACGGAAAGGGAAAAAAATAAGGGACAGGGAACAGGGACAGGGAAAGGGATAAGGGATAAAGGACAGGGATATGGGACAGGGAACAGGAACATGGAAAGGGAAAAGAATAAGGGACAGGGAACAGGGAACAGGAACACGGAAAGGGAAAAGAATAAGGGACAGGGAACAGGGACAGGGATAAGGGAAAGGGACAGGGAAAGGGATCAAGGACAGGGATATGGGACAGGGAACATGAACAGGGAAAGGGATAAGGGACAGGGATAAGGGATAAAGGACAGGGAACAGGATAAGGGACATGGGTAAGGGACAGGGACAGGAGAAGACACACGGTCACAAGGTGCCACCACCACCCTCCCAGCCAGCTCCCCATTGAATCCCTCCAAGTGTGAAGCCCCTGACCCCAACCCTGGCCCCGCTGGGGGGGGTTTGTGGCTCCTGGCCAAGGCTCAGGGGACTGAGGGTCCCTCACATCCAGCAGGCTCCACCTGGCACCAATCCCTGCAGGAAAACCTGGAATCTTCCCCTCGTTCCTCTCCCACCTTGTTTTGTTCACAAGTCAATTAATGAGGGGGAAAGTCTCCCGGGATGTGGCTGCCACTTCCCGGGAATGTAATTGGGATTAATTGCCTGGGGCTGTTTGATCTGTGGGCTGTGGGTTCTGCTCCCAGCCCAGCTCGGGGACCCCAGGGAACATTGACCCCAGTTCAAACCAGCAGGTCCTTCCTCAGGCACGTCCCCCCACCCTGCCCAGAGCTGGTTTCAGCAGGAATTGCTCCTTTCAGGAAACTCCATCCACCAAAAAAACAAACCCAAAAACCCAGCAGAGAGAAAATCAGAGCTGGAGAAGGGGGATTTGAAAGCAGAGCTCGAATGTAAAACTGGATCAGCTCCTAATCCTGAGGAAGGGGAGGAGAGGCCGGGGGGGGTTTGGGTCCCAGGGCACCGGATTGCACAAAACCCCAGTAAAGCAGAAAATGCAGCAGGGGAGAGAGGGGAGGGGGAAATTCCAGATGGGATTAGAGAGAGCTCAGAGGTGGGGACTGAGCCCGGGGGGCTCTGGGGGGTGACAGGGATGGCAGAGCAGGAGGGGGGAGTTTGGTCCTGCTCATCCTGAGGGGACAGGAGCGATTCCAGGCTGGATTTTGGGTCTGCACCCACCCCATGATCCCAGGAGAAGCAGGAGAGATTTTCCAGCACAGCTCATCCCACACAACTGGGCTGCTGGGAGCTGCCCCTGACACCCCAGGATGAGCTCTGGGATCCCTCCCAGCCCATTCCATGGTTCCATCACCCTGGTGTTTCCTTTCTCCTCTTGTTTAGAGTGAAGTGGACCCAAAAAAAGGCTCTTCAGGCAGGCAAAGCCCTCAGTGAAACCCTCAGTGAAATCCTCAATAAATCCCCCAATGAAACCCTCAGTGAAACCTTCAGTGAAATCCTCAGTGAATTAAACCCTCAATGAATCCCCCAATGAAATTCTCAATGAAACCCCCCAATAAATCCCTCAGTGAAACCCTCAGTGAAATCCTAATGAATCTCTCAATTAAACCCCCAATGCATCCCCCAATTAAACCCTCAATGAATCCCCCAATGAAATCCTCAATAAATCCCTCAGTGAAATCCTAATGAAACCCCCAATGAATCCCTCAATGAAATCCTAATGAAACCCCCAATTAAACCCCCAATTAAACCCTCAATTAAACCCCCCCCCCAAGCCTCTCTGAGCCCAGAGCAAGATCCAGACCTGGAGGTGCTGGAGCTGCCCCAGGAGAGGCTGAGCCCAAACCCTGCTGCTGTCTCAGGGAACAGGAGGAGCTCCAAGGGGTGCTGACCCTGTGCCAGTCTGGGAATGCTCTCAAAGGCCGTTTTTTGGGAATTATTCTTTGAAGCTGATCTAAAAGAGGAGCTTTGAATCCTTCCATAAAGGACCAGGAGGGGATTTTGTCCTGCTGGGGTTTTACTGGGAGCAGCTCGTGGCACTGGGGATCAGCTCCAGCTCTGGGTGTTGCTGTTCAACCTGTGAGAACTTTTTTTTTTTTTTTTTTTTTTTTTTTTTGAGATTATTGCAGCGCCATTAAAAAAAAAAAAAAGGTGTTGGCTTTGCTGAGAAGGGGAATGGACCAAGGGCTCCTAAAAACCTTCACTGTGGTCACCTCCAGGGTGGCAACCTCCCCTCTCCTGATGCTGGCCATGCTTTAAAGGTTCCCACATTATTTACCCACCCTCCATTTCCCCAAACATCTCCCTTGTTTTACTTCATGGGATTCAAACCTGGAACCTCAAACTCTCCAAACAAGCCTTGAGACCTCGTGGAGCAGAGCTGGCAAAATTTGGGTGCCAGGGCAGCCCCAGCCCAGCAGGAGCTGCGGGTTTGGCCAAAACAAATCCTGCCTGTCCCAAAAAAAGGAGCCCAGGGCGAGGCTGCAGCACCCAGAGCCAGCTCAGGTGGAGTCAGACTCCACTGCAGCTAAACCAGCCCGGGGCTATTTTTAAAATCTGGGCTTTCTAATTTTATTTATTTTTATTTCTCGAAGCTCTCGGTTTCAAGGCAAGTGGGGAATGTCCACATGAGTCATCCCAGAGCTGTCACACCCCTCTGGGCTCATGGCAGGGGCTGGGAAACAGCAGGAAAAAAAAATCTCATTCTCATTAAAATCTATCAGTTTCCCAAACAAGAGGACTTGGGCTTTACTTTTTAGTCACACTTCACAATATTTTTCTTTTTTTTTTTTTTTTTTTTCCTCCTGGAACTAAAACATTTAATCCTGCTCCAGGATGTGTGGCTAGAAAAGAATTTGGAGCTGCTAAGTGGGAATTTCTGTGAGCTGTGAGAGGAGCACAGGGATCCTTCCTCAGTCCCCCCCCCATTGCCAGCCCCACACCTTCCTCCCAACCCTCCTCCTCCTCCTTTTCCTCCTCCTCCTCCTCCTCCTGTCCTTGCCAACCCTTCCCAGCACTTCCCTCCCAAATTCTGCAGAGGGAGAAAGAGCAAGAGAATCCAGCTGGGAGCAAAGTGAGCACTTCCCACCCATCCAAACAACCCCAAATCCATCCAAACAACCCCAAATCCATCCAAACAACCCCAAATCCCTCTGGGGACATTCCCAAATCCCTCTGGGGACATTCCCAGCCCCAAATCCCATTTTTTGGCCTCACCAAGGCATCGGGATCCATCGGGGCTGCTGATGAAGCCTCGGGGGCAGGAGCACACGTAGCTGCCCACGGTGTTGGTGCAGTCACCACCATCACACACCCCGGGCATGGCCCCACACTCATCCACGTCTGCAGGGAGAGAATCCCACAAAAACCATACAGAACGTCCCCTTAAATCCCACAAAAACCGTACAGAACATCCCCATCCAAACCCCACAAAAACCATACAGAACATTCCCTTCCCACAAAAACCGTACAGAACATCCCCTTAAACCCCACAAAAACCATACAGAACATTCCCTTAAATCCCACAAAAACCATACAGAACATTCCCATCCAAACCCCACAAAAACCATACAGAACATCCCCTTAAACCCCAGAAAAAACCATACAGAACCTGCCCTTCCCTATCCAAATTCCACAAAAACCATACAGAACATCCCCTTAAACCCCACAAAAACCATACAGAACATCCCCATCCTAACCCCACAAAAACCATACAGAACCTGCCCTTCCTCATCCAAATCCCACAAAAAGCCATACAGAACATTCCCTTCCCACAAAAACCATACAGAACCTGCTCTTCCCCATCCAAATTCCACAAAAACCATACAGAACGTCCCCTTAAACCCCAGAAAAAACCATACAGAACCTGCCCTTCCCTATCCAAATCCCATAAAAACCATGCAGAACATTCCCTTAAACCCCACAAAAACCATACAGAACATCCCCATCCAAACCCCACAAAAACCATATAGAACATCCCCTTCCCCTTCCAAATCCCATAAAAACCATGCAGAACATTCCCTTAAATCCCACAAAAACCATACAGAACATTCCCATTCCCCATCCAAACCCCACAAAAACCATGGCTCCCAGTGCCATTGGGGTGGCCCTGGGTCATTGGGGTGACCCTGGGCCATGGATTGGACTCACAGATCCCTCCCAGCCCAGGATATTCCACAATTCCATTCTCTCATTCTATTCCAGACAAGAAGGAAACACCAAATCCTGCCTGGGCTCTTTGGGACCCTCAGATTCCGAGGTGTCCCCTGAGCCCCCCCCGGGCTCTTTGGGGCTCCCTGGGACAGAAAAGCCCCGAGAGCTGCCAGGGCAGCAGAGCAGAACACAAAAAACCTCCCCAACCTGGGCCCCTGAGCCAAAAAAAAAAAAGAGATTTTATCAGCCAGCCTTGCCCTGCCATTCAATCCTGCCCTGCCCTGGGCTACAGCTCAGGAGCTCTGCAAGGAAAAGAGCTTTAGGAAGGGAAAGTTGTTA